TAATTAATACTTAAATTTTATTAATATTTATTTACAATTAATATTAATGAGGGTTATAATTGAAACAAGTGATAATAAACTATCAAAAGTGCTACTCCAAGTAATGTTTCAATAAGTTAGTTTATATACATCCAAACGTGTACCTAAAAAATAAGCTAGCTTATTTTTACCAAACAATGTCTTAGTTTAAATAACAAGTTTACCTATTACTATAATGATTAAATTTTTCAAAATGCTTTATCTTAATAAAAAAATAAGTTGAAAGTATTTGTTGTAATAAGATAAAATAAAAATATAATGTTATAATAAAAAAATTTATAAAAATAGATTATTATTCCACGTATTTAATCCAAATTATTTTACATCTTAAAGTTGATATCTTGATTTACCTATAAAAAATTATTCACAGAAATAAGGTAGATGGTAACCATATATATATTTTTTTCTGAATGGATACATAATACCTCCTCAAACTCTTTTAAAAATGATATATTGGGGGTGTGTAATTGGTTTGGTTAAAAATAGATACGAATTATTTTGTAACCATAAAAAAGGACGATAATTAATTTCAGTTTGTTACATTTTTTTAACAATCAGAAGCTTCAAAGAAGATATCTCTGAACCTTGCTTTGACCAACGTGCAAATACCAACACAATCATCAATGTCTAGAAACATCTTGGAATGGAGATGCTTCAGTACTTTAGCCTTGTCAAACGACAAGCATATATATGAGTGGATCTATCAACTCATATTCCCATCACCTGATACAACTGAACAGATCGAAAGTAACTTTATTTCTGCAAGTGATGACCACTCCAACCACTGCTTTAAAGAAAGGTTCATGGAGTCTTGAAGAAGATGAAAAGCTGATTTCTTATATCAACAGATATGGTATCTGGAACTGGTCCCAGATGCCCAGATTTGCTGGTAAGTATATGAATATGGATATGATCAAAGCAAAATTAGCGTATAGATTTTCTTTCTAAAATAGCAGAAGCAGGCTATTAATTGTGAAATAAAAGAAGTGGGTTCAGATGCCCAGATATGCCGGTAAATATTAATTGTTTTTCTTTTGATTTTCTAGGTTTGTCAAGAAGTGGGAAGAGTTGCAGACTCCGATGGATGAACTATTTGAAACCTAACGTGAAAAGGGGGAACTTCACTAAGGAGGAAGACGATATCATACTCCATTCTCATTCACTTCTCGGCAATAGGTATGCATATATATATATATATGTATATATATACACACACACGCGTATATTTTATTCCTTGAATATTTGAAAAGTTTTATTCTTTTGGTAAAATATTTCACAAGTTATATATATTGGCATATAATCAAGTATCTAAATCTGTACTCCATCTGTAATCAATTCATAGGTGGTCTGCGATTGCTTCAAGACTTCCCGGAAGAACTGATAATGACGTAAAGAATTACTGGCATACCCATCTCAAGAAACGAGCGACTGAATACAATCTGGTGTCCGAAACGACGGAGCAAAATGACATGCAGTCTTCACCAACATTTGAAGCTGAAAATATGGAGATATTACAACAGCCTGATAATCATATGCATGAATTTTTCGAATCCTGCTTTACTTCCGAAGATGATAGTTCTTCATCCTGCTGCACTACTACTTCCAAAGATCATGATGATGAGTTTAGAGCTAATTATTTCCATACGGGTTCACCAGGAACAGTTGACGATCTTCAATGTTTTTGGGATCAACTTTGCCCGGTGGAGAACTTGGAGCTGGGAAACAATCTTTACCGGAATATGTTTTCTGATCCCATTTTTCAAGATTCATGCAATGATCCAATCAGCAGTACTTATAGCTTCTACAATAATGACTACAACACCAGTTTCCTGCCCAACCCATAGACTGGCATTGCTGCACGTAACGTAGGTGGTGGGTTTACAATATCCTTCAATAATCAGGTGTAATTTTCATGATGCTGGTTTGTGTATAAATAAGACTCCGGAAAGATATATAAAAGATTAAAGATAGTGAGTTACAGTAATCAGACATTGGCCCAAAAAACACATCATGATATTTATTTGTCAGAGTATCAAGATTCAAACACTGTACCTATGGGATAGAGGAAGAGGAAAAAACCGAATATTTCAAGCATTTTTGAATTATTTGGCTATGTTTCGTGAGATAAGATAGTTCTGGGTGGATGAACCAGCCAAAGCAGGTATTAACTGTGAAGTACAATATTTATTAATAACCTAATCGATAAATTAATTTTTTAATAAAAATTTAACCAATAAATTAGGCAATAATATAAAATGATTTAAAAAAAATACGATGAAAATACATAAATGACATAAACAGGAAAAATGCTTATTGAAACATTTCTGGTTAGTTTTTTCATATTTAAAAAAATAATTTTTCTCTTTCAAAATTATTTACACAAATGGATTGGTTTTTAGAACCCTTTGCAAAATGGGTTCCGTTTCAAAACAAACAATTAACAAATCACCCATTCGCTATCTTTAACTTGTGTTGTATACTTCTATTAAATTTGAACTATGATTTTGGTTTCATGTACTTTGTTGATTATAACTATTTTTTTTTTAATATTTTTTTGGTTATTATGATTTACATTTTATATTATTTTTTATACCTTTGTTAAGTTAATAGGCCTTTTGGTTATTTAAAATTTTAATTACTTTTTTACTAAAAAAGTAAAATACATTCCCTAAAAGATATTTTCTATGTCTTTTTTTATTCAAAAATGAGTCTTGAGTTAACAAATTTTAAAACTGGCGATTCTTTTTCTAATCACTTACAAATTGCAATAGTGAAATGTACACCTATATAAAAGATAAAAAATAAGCCGAATTTCAAGAACTAACAATCAGTGTATATATATATATATATATATATATATATATAATATAGGCTTAATTATTTGAAAATCTATGAAATTATGATAAACTTGAGAATTTGTGCATCATGTATTTTTTAATATATTGATTAACATATAATTTTTTAAACAATCACATCGTAAAACAAATATATGTTAATCAATACATTAAATAATATGCCTAGATAGAAAAAAAAATTATATGAAACAACACATGATGCACAAGTTCCCAAGGTTATCACAATTTCATAGGTTCTTGAATGATTAAGCCCATATATATCTATACTACATTAATAACCATTTAAACCAAAGTCTTAAGTATAAGCCTTTAAGCACAAGGTACAACTATTGTATGCAAGAATTTTAAAAATCTCTTAATTACAACTCATTAAGCATGATGTACAAGTGTTTTATGCATTGAGTTTATTAACAATGTTCAGACCTTGTTTTTCTCCTCTTCCTTTTCCAGTGACAGTCCCTTCCACCAAAAACCATTTTGGGTAAGGTCAAAATGCGCTTTCTTCTGTTCTTCTTCCTTTTCCAGCTTCCTCCTCTTTTCCAGCTTCCTCCTCTGTGCCTTCTTCCTTTTCATGATTCCTCCTCTGCGCCTTCTTCCCAATTAGTAAGGTCAACCCTTTGCTTTCTTAAAGTGCTGCAACCTTTGCAGAAATGGCCGGCTCCCAAGACAATCTCATTTGTGCATATAACCAGAAGTTTCAGGCTTTGATTTCTCCTCAGGTTGTTCAAAACCCTAGCAATATCTGTGAGGTATTGACTTGGTTTACTTGTTCTTCAAAACTCAGGTTCTTCATTTCATTTTTGGTTTCGCTTTTGGATTTCATTTTTGGGTCTGTTTCCATTTCATCTTATTTGCAACTGAGTTTTCAATATTAGATGAATTCATTTTTGTTTCCATTTCATTTTATACGCACACACATCTGGCCACAAACAGAAAAGTAAGATTAGGACTGGTGATTTGAGCCCTCCACAATCCTGAGGGCTAAGTATTCACAGATGGTTTATGGTTTGACATCATGACCATCTTAATTTCATCCCTGCTTTTGTTTTTAATCATATTTTTATTTTATTTTTTTATTATATTTTTAATGGTCTTCTGTTTGTTAAGGTTGAATTTGAGGTTGCTATGGAATATTAATTTATCATCTTCATTTGCTTCTTGTTTGAGTTGGAATTGGAAGTATCTTGATATGTAATGGGATTTTATGGGTTTCAATACACCAACCAAGGACAGATGCAAGAAATATCTCATCATCAGCCAATTCTCCTCCTTTTAGTAACTTGTAGCTATCAAGAACAGAAGAGACGTCGCTTCAGCTTTCCTACAAGCATGACAGTAGAATATTGCTTTTATTTACAATAAAACTGTAACAGCCCACAATTCTGTCCATGATATAAATCACAACGATCATACATAACTTTCTTAAACATTCGAAGTATAACCCAAACATAGATTGCTTACATAACGAGAGAAAATACAGGTTAACAAAAACTTTGTCTATTACAACACAAACATCTAAATAACACTTCATTATATTTTTCCCTTGCCTTTGTCTTGTGATGATAGATGACCTACAAAACATATTAGTCCAATAATTGAACGTTAGACCAAAAGGTCTAGTGAGTGTATCTTTCTCATACAAACAATATATATTTCAAAATCCAAGGTTATAACAAACCTGGACATATCTACATATATATATATATATATATATATATAAAGTTGCTACTTTCCCTCTGCGCTTATAAGTAGATAAGGTCAGACTTTGCTTGCTTTGAGACATCTTGAAAAGGGAAATCCAATATCAAAATGGAAATGTTTGAAATTGCTCCTTGACCCAAGAAAGGAACGAACGGGATTCGGAGCTTGCTGACCCTTATACACAGATGGGGGATATAGAGAAAATGGTTATTCCTACATCACAACCTAAAAATCTTGACCCAATCATTGCGGGTATCCTTGAGGAGGGCCGGAAGTACCTTTCCTACAAACAGAGTGGAGTGGTAAAGGCGAATGAGCCGGTCTACCCATTTATATATATATATATATATATATATCAATTCATCATTTCATCTATCGTGGTTACACCGCCAGTTCATCTATTGCGGTAACACTGCCAGTTCATCTATCGCAGTTACACCGCCACTTCATTTATCACAGTCACAAACATTAAAGATTTTCCCTCTCTAATTGTTTATTCCGATAAGATATAAAATGTGCCAATACTGTATCAAGTTAATCATGAATCCATATAACACCTCATCCGGTTTAGGATGAATCCGGACAATCACTTCCTCCCGTTTAGGATGAATCTGGTCAACATTTCATCCGGTTTAGGATGAATCCGGTCAATACTTCATCTGGTTTAGGATGAATCCGGTCAACACTTCATCCGGTTTAGAATGAATCCCGTCAACACTTCATCCAATTTAGGATGAATCCAGTTAACACTTCATCCAATTTAGACTGAATCCTGACAACACTTCATCTGGTTTAGGATGAATCCGGATGACATTTCCTCCGATTTAGAGTGAATCTGGACAATACTTCATCCGGTTTAGGATGAATCTGGACAATACTTCATCCAGTTTATGATGAATCCAGTCAGAAGGTTGTTCAATTCATAACAAACAATATTCAGAAGCAATTGTATCATATACATATGATTACTATGCAAGATAGAAAGCCATTAAACTCACCTTAGACCAAAATCTCAGTTTAGAATATGATTGCTTCTTCTATCCGGAGATGATGAATTGCCAAAGAAATTGTACTATTATGGAATGGTCGACACGTTTCCCATGTAACCTCTCTTACTAGATATAGTAAGAGCAACAAAGCACGGGGCAGTGCATGACAACTGCCCCCCCTCTCTTCCTAAGCATTCCTTCAATAATAATAATAACAACAATCCTAAAAGTCTTACTAAAGAGGAATAAATAACACACAAGGTTAAATTCTCAAAAACCATTATACAACATAATCCAACCCCGATCTTTTCAATACTACATAAACTTTAAAACCGATCAACTACAACCTGAAAACTGCATGTTACAATATCCTCTCCTTAGAAAAATTATGTCCCAGAATTCCACTAAGTAAACAAATGAGGATATTTCATTCACATTTCTGACTCGAGTTCCCAGCTGGCGTCTGCTCCTTTAGGATAACGCCACTGTACTTTTACTAATTCGATCTTCTTATTCTGTAATTTCTTTACCTTGAAGTCAGTAATGGCTTCAGAGGTTTCGTCAAAACGTAACTTCTCATCAATCTTAAATTCTGGAATAGGCACAACTATGTCGGGATTTGCTAGACACTTTTTTCAAATTTGACACATAAAAAGTGTTATGAATACTAGTTAACTCTAATGGAAGTTCTAGTTTGTATGCCACCTCTCCAACTCTTTCAATGATAGGAAATGGTCCAATATATCTTGGACTTAACTTCTTTTTTTTTACCAAAGTGTACTACTCCTTTCCAAGGTGATATCTTTAACATTACTTTATCACCAATTTGGAACTCAATTGCTTTTCGACGTTTATCGGCATAACTTCTTTGCCGATCTTGTGCCACTTTCATTCGTTCTCGTATTTGGCAAATTTTATCCGCTGTTTGCTGGACTAGCTTAGGCCAAACTAACTGTTTCTCTCCTATCTCGTTCCAGCACAAAGGAGTTCGAGACTTTCGTCTACAAAACCTCAAAAGGTGCAACTTGAATGGTAGCTATTATTGTAAGTGAATTCCACCAAAGCTAAATGATTATCCCATGATCCCTCAAAATCAATAACACAAGCTCTAAGCATATCTTCCAACTTTTGGATAGTTCATTCACTTTGTCCATCCGTTTGACGATAGTTAGCTGTACTTAGCTTAATATGTGAACGCATCTATCTTTGAAAACTCTTCCAAAACATAGAAGTGAATCGACTRTCTCTATCRGAAATAATTGATAGAGGAACACCATGACGTGTCACTGCCTCATCAATATACAGTTTTGCCACTCTCCATTGAATATGATTCTTTCATCGGTAAGAAATGTGTAGATTTGGATAACCGATCTACAATCACCCATATGGCATCATAACTTTTTGATGTTCTTGGCAATTTGGTTATGAAATCCATAGTGATGTGATCCCATTTCCGAGCTGGAATTTCTAAAGACTACAACTTACCATATGGACGTTGGTGTTCTATCTTCAACTGAAGACATGTTATACTCTGCTCAACATGTTTGGCTATATCTGTTTTCATACTTAGCCACCAATAGTATTGCTTCAAATCCTGATACATTTTGTTTGTACCTGGATGAATAATAAATCGTGATTTGTGAGCCTCACTTAAGATATGTTTTCTGAGATTACCATAACACGGTACCCAAATTCTATTTTGAAAACTCCAAAATCCCTTGTCATTCTTTTCAATTTCAGATATTATTCCACCCAGTCTTTCTTGTTTAATTTTATCCTCATTCATAGCTTCACATTGAAATTCCTGTAATTCTTGGAACAGATGTTGTAGGCTCTTATGATCCATGAAAATTTGACATTTTGTCCCATATAAGTAGTGCCTCTATATCTTTAAAGCAAACACTATAGTTGATAACTCCATGTCATGAGTAGGATACTGCTTTTCATGATCTTTTAACTGCCTTGAAGCATAAGCAATTACTATTCCACGTTGCATCAATATACAACCCAAGCCCATCTTCGATGCGTCACCATATACCACCAAATCCTCCATTCCATCTGGCAAGGACATAATTGGTGCACTACATAACTTATCTTTTAACATTTGAAAATCCTGCGCTTGCGCTTCTTCCCACTTATACTTTACATTCTTCTTTGTCAATTTAGTTAATGGAGTGGCTATACGAGAAAAGTCTTGTATAAACTTGCGATAATACCCAGCCAATCCAAGAAAACTTCTGATTTCGATTGGGGTCTTTGGTGCTTCCCATTTTTCAATGGCTTCAATCTTAAGAGGATCTACTTTGATGCCCTCCTCCAAAATAACATGACCTAGAAACTGAACCTCTCGCAGCCAAAATTCACATTTTGACATCTTAGCGTACAACTTTTCTTGTTTCAGTAATTCTAGGAGTAGTTTCAAATGGTGAGCATGCTCTTCTTCCCGACCGAGAGTATATCAAAATATCATCAATAAAAACAATCACAAATTTATCAAGATATGGGCGACACACCCTATTCATCATATGCATAAAGACTGCAGGTGCGTTTGTGAATCCAAACGGCATAACCAGAAATTCACAATGACCATAATGTGTACGAAATGTCGTTTTTTGACACATCTTCATCCCAAATCTTTAATTGATGATAACCTGATCATAAATTAATTTTTGAAAAATAAGTAGCCCCAACTAATTGATCAAACAAATCATCAATTCTCGAAAGAGGATACTTATTTTTGATTGCTAATTTATTCAGTTCCTGATAATCAATGCACATTCTCAATGATCCATCCTTCTTTTTTACGAATAACAGCAGCGCACCCCGTGGAGAAGTACTTGGTCCAACAAAACCTTTATCCAGCAATTCTTTCAATTGTGACATTAACTCCTTTAATTTAGAGGGAGCTAATCTATACAGTGCACGTGCAACTGGCACTGCTCTAGGCAGTAATTCAATCTGAAACTCTATTGATCGATCTGGAGGTAAACTTGTTAAGTCTCCTGTAAATACTTCTGGAAATTCTCTCACAACTGGAATATCCTCCATCTTTTTCTTTTCTTTCTTTATGTCAATTGCATAGGCAAGAAAGCTAACACATTCTTTCTGTATGTACTTCCAAGCCTTTAAAACGGAAATAAGGCTGGAATAACGATCCCGCCGGTCCCCATAAATTATAACCTTTCCCTTTCCTGGTAAGTCTATGTGGATCATCTTTTCAATACAGACTATGTTAGCTTGATTTTTAGCTAACCAATCTATGCGCACAATTATTTCAAACTCTCTTAAGGGTATAGGAAATAACTGTATGGGCACCTCACACCCTTCTATACTTATGAAACATTCATCTATCATTTCCTTAATCGATACTTCACTATCGTTGATGTCTCCACTATCAATACCTCTTCTAACGTTTTAGATTCTAATTGCGCACAATTAACACAAATGATCGCGATACAAAAGGACGATTTGTACCAAAATCAAATAAAACTTTGGCACAGACTGAGTTAACAAAGAATGAACCTGTGACCACTTCAGGGTGTTCTTCTGTCTCACCTCTCGTCATCTGAAAGGCTCGTCCTATAGCAATCGATCCACCACGTCTTATTTCCCACGACCATTCGGAGCATTACGATTAACTGCTGGCCCGTGGTTAGGTGGAACATAACTAGATCCTTGGCCCCCAGAATATCCAAATCCTCGTCTCCCAACAAAACCAGACCCTCGTCCCTTAGCTTGCGGACAATCGACGTTCACATACTGAGAGGAATTGCAGGTAAAACATCTTCGCACCATTCGACAATTTCGAGCTATATGACCTGATTCTTGACATTTAAAACATACTCGTGACTCGATATTGTAGCTTCCTTGATGTACTTTATGACATTGTGTACACACCTTATCAGTAAACCTTGGGACTGGTCGATTCAGATTTTCAGTAAACCTTGGTCTACGAAAATCAGTCGTTACGGCTTCCCCTTTTCTTTTATCCCCAACTCTTTCTTGTGGTTGGCGATTAATATGCTGTTCCATAATTTCTGCAGCGTTAACCGCTGCCTTAAATGTCGTTGGATTTCTATATATCACATATTTTCAAAGATTAGACTCTAAACCCCATATGTACTTTCTAACTTTACTGCTTTCAGATACAATATATGCTTTAGCAAACCAGGACTGTTCCATGAAGACCTCCGTATATTGACGAACTGACATGTTTCCTTGTTCTAGTCGAAGGAAATCATCTTCTAACTTTTGTACAGCCGCTTCAAGACAATATTGCATCTTAAACTTCACCACAAATTCCTCCCATAACATAGTTTTCAAAATATTTGGATCTGAACTTGACAAAATCTCCCACCAATATAGAGCACTTGACCTTAGTCGAGACAAAACAACATGACTTTATCCTCCTCTGCACTTTTACTGATTTGCAGACTTATTTCAACTTCTTTAAGCCAGCACATGGCTTTAACAGGATCACGTTCTCCAGAAAATTTAGAAGGTTTACAAGCAAGAAACATTTTAATATCCCCTCCTATTTGAACTAAGGATGAAGTAAGGGGTATAGATGTATCTATTTCCGGTGTACTAGTTCCGACTTCTTCCTGATAACCGAGATCCCTTACTTCTTCTTGGTTATTTTTTGTCGAACATCCCAACAAACTGACCAAAATTTCTTGAAATTTTCCCAATTCAGCTGCCAATATTTCCTAAGTAATAAAACTAGGATCAGAAGCATTATTTCTACCTCTTGCTCTACCTCTTCCATGTCCTGACATAGAACTCTCCTGTACCGATAATTCTTATTCCAATGAGTCTTTGGTTGAGTATTTTTCCCCTTCCTCGACCCTTACTTTGACTTCGTGTTTCGATTGTCATAACGTTTTCCGGGTCCACTTCTTGATTTATCATTCCTCTTCCCCGACCTCTTGAATGGTTTGGCCAGATTTTACTTTCTTCTTGGTGGCTTGATCAATTTCTCGGTCAACGAAAATTGTTGATTTGGAACCCTAGATGTAGATATGAGATGTTTGAGATGATTGGCGTTGGTGATAGTGAAATTGAAATCAAAAAAGAAAGGAAGATGGAGATATGGAATCGATTTGGAATCCATGTAACTTCCTAAGAGAATCATTGTACAAAACGACGAGCTCTCCCTGTGTTAGAACCCAGATAAACTTAATTGACAGAAATATTGTTTGCGTAAAATAGGAATTAAGAACAACAAAGTATTTCAAATGACTAAACAGAATATTCAAAGAGGAATGTAAAACAGTGAATAAACTTTGAATATACCGAATGCTTTTATTGATAAAAGATGAACAATTTGAAGCACGAAAGTAATCTCACAGAAATTGCGTATAGTGTAAGTCGGTTCCTTTAGGTACTTTAAACCTGAGGAGGAAGCATCCTTATATATGCCTAGGTCTAAGAAACTATGCTAAATAAAAGGCATGGAACTCTGAGCTGACTGGTCTGCATCCTTATCTTTGACTTCCCTTGAATAGCAGAGCAGACTTGGTCAAGCCGCCTTAAATCTGTTAGACGCTTACGAGAATGTCTGGGCTAACACACGCACGTTCCATGGAGAAGGTAGCCAGAAGCTCTGCATGTACTATGCAAAGGCTCTGCATATGCAGAAGATCTGCATGTACTATGCAGAGGCTCTGGGTCTTGGAGTTGTTCCTTTAAGTCAAGCGCTTATGCTTTTTGGTGCACAAGGCTTGAGCGTTCACGGAGATAGAGCGCAAGATCTGTATGAATGGAACCTTTACTCTGAGTAAGAGCTCTGGTTCTTGATCTTCTGCATGAGAGCTCTTAGCTAGGCAACTTCTATAGACTAAGTCCTATTGACTAGAGCAAGATACTTCTTACTTACACTTTCACAAGTTGGGGTCTAACAATCTCCCCCTAAGTGTAAATAAGAAGAACTCTTACTTGATTTACAAAATATAAGTCTAATCGAAGACAGAGGTTAAAAGGAACCTCTGGTTTACATTAACTATCTAAAGAAGTACAATGCGAATGGAAATGGAAATTACATCGATTTAAAGACAAGAAAGTACTTACAAAAGATAGGAGGTCTAAACTCTTTGAAGTCTAATGAACTTCCTAAAAAGTTCACGAAACTCAAGCATATTTCGAATTGACCTTAGGATAATTTTGGTTCGCTCCTTTGCTCCAGGGGAGTTGTCTTTGCTCCTGACTAGATTGTCTCTTATATAACGCAGAGTAGAGTTGGAGTACTTGTAATTTTGGTTGTCTCGAAAGAAGATCTTCTATTTATGCTCGTTTCGAAACACCACTCCCAGTTCTGGTTCCACCAAAACCGTCCAGGAGGGGATACTGTTGATGCCCTGCAAGTCTTCATTTGGAGCAGCGACTGTCAGTTGATCCACTCCTAGATCCAGCGCTAGTTGGAAATCGAACTTGCTTCTGAAGTCGAGCAGGTCTATCATTGTTTGGCGAACGACAGAGTTGGCAACATCGTATTTGACTCCCTTGTCCTTCTTGTGATATGTGAAGTAGAACAGATGTAGAAGATCCCATGGATTTATATTAATAAGGTCACAATCTGTGAACCTACAGATCCATCCACGAGATCTCTCTACTGTGTACTCGTAGAACATAATCTAATTTTGCGCGAAAGTGCGCTTCTTTATGTCGAGGACTTGCTTTATTCCATCAACAAAGTGGACTGTAGTGATAGGCTGAGTGTAGCGATCTAGGAATCTCTACCTGATGTGCTCTTGAACCATAGGATGAAGACTGATCTTCTGGACCGGTGTCTTTTCTCTTAGGTTGTAGAAGAACTGGTAGATGTCCTTGCTGTTTGCCTTGTCCTTAATGGGTTTGTCGAGGGGTGTTGGCGTGAACATGGCATCCATACTTTCCTTGATCTTTTGGACACAATCAGAAGGATGCTTCCGTTTTTCCCCGCTGGTTGTGCCTTCTAAGTCCGCTTTGTTTGGATTGACAGGTACCTGCTGCTTCATAGCAGGAGTGACAACCCTGGTCCCTTGAGTAGGGACCCTTGCTCTGTGTGTTTGAGGATATGGTGGAGGAGCAACAATAGTGACTTCTTCTAGAGGAATGGCAACTGGAATGTGCAAAAGTGATGGATCAGCCACATTCACAACTACCACCTCTTCTTCTTGTTCTTGTGCTGGAGCAGCGGTGTCCATGGCGTATTCAGTTGACGAGGACAGAGCCAGGTCAGAATTAGATGATCCATAGACAGATAAGAGATCTCTGACCTCTGTGTTCTTTTGTAGCCCAGCTGGCTCTGCTTGTGACGCCATGGGCATTTTCCCTTTGCGAAGTGCCTCTGCATTGTCTGGCGCTGGTTGGTTTCGTGTCCTCTGCCTTGAAGGATCTTGAGCTGGTTGGCGTGGGGCAGAGGACGTTTGTGCAGAGGGTGCAGCCATAGGTGTTGCACTTGGAACCGCTGTAGGATGGTTCTCCCCCTCTTGATGATTTTGAGGACCAGACAAGTCTGGGTCATCATCATCGTCAAGTCGCCTCCTCTTCGATGGTTCTGCACAAGGAGATGGATCCATTCATCAATTTGGCCTCTGGTCCTCTGCTTGAGGCATTGACTTGATCCTCTTATCAATAACTTTGAGGAGTTCATCGGCTGCATTCCAACCTTTTGCATTTCATCATCCGAGCGGTAATTGAATCTGGCCAGAGTATCATTGATGGCCTTCGCTGCGGCTATGGCTTTGCTATTGAAGTCTGAAGTGAAGTCCGCCACCTTCTGTAGAAGTCTGTCACCCAGAGAATGCATTGCGCTCTATGTGACATAATCCACAAGTACACTCACAGGAATGAGGGACTGGGTATCATGAGATGTGGATGCCTCAACCCTCTGTAATGATGCAATGACCTATTGTAAGGTCTCTACATTGCGTGCCGTCAATTCCACAAGTGTATCGATAGGAGAAGCATTCTTCGAAGACTCAACTCTTAATACTGCCAAGAATGCTCGTATCTCATCTAGAGCAGGTGTAGAAGGAGACGGCTCTACACGGGCCATGATGAGTTTTAGCTCTTCAAAGGAGCACCGCACAGAGGTGAAAAGGGAATGTAACTCTTCCCTAGTGACATATGTAGGTGGTGTAACCTCTGGCTCAACACATCGGCCAGATTGAGTCCCCGTTCCAGGGATGCCTTCATTCACGACTTGATTGACGATAGTCGGGGAAGGACTTCCAAAGGATCCTCGTGGTTTATCTTGAGGAGAATTCACTACTTCTGTTCTGTTAGGGAGAGGACCCAAGGCTGGTTCAGAGCTAGCCAGAGGGCACTCCATGAGTGGACTAAGAGACTGGTCGAGAGTCTCCAAGCCTGGTGCACCTATTCCTTGCTCTGAACAAGGTTGGGAGTCTACACGTGCAGAGGCAACAAATTCCTCTGTATGCGAAAGTGGCGTGATATAGGGAGACATATCTCTTATATTTTCAAAGGTTGCACCATTTTGAGAGGGTGTTCCCTGTGGTGAGGTTTCCCTTTGGCTGATATAACCAGAGGCAGATGCGACCTCTAGTTGGATAGGCTGGCTCGGGTTCGAGGTGTGCACCTCTGTTTCAATGACCTCCGTGTCTCGACCACCAGAGTCAGATAATTCGTTTGCACTGGGAGTTGGAGTGGTAAAACGAGTGTGCCTATTTAGCCTAGGCTGCTGTGGCTCGCCCTGAGGCAGAGCAGCTTCTGCACCTCCTCCCTCTTCTTCACTTTCCTCTCCTTTCTCACTCTCTTCTTCTTCACTCTCTTCACTCTCCTCTTCTTCTTCCTCATTTTCCTCACTTGTATAAGACCTTGCAGCATCATCGTAGTGCTCTTGGCCATCCCCTTGGTTTGGACTAGAGGATTGAGCCAAGTCTTGACGAGCCTCTTCTTCTGCTCTGAGTCTAGCCTCTTCCCTCAGACAAGCGATCTCTGCCTGGTGAGCTTTTTCTGCTTGCTCATTCTCTGCTCTAGCATGAGCAAGCTCAACCAATCTCTTTTGCTCTGCTCGCTCGGCTTCTTCC